TTGATGAATGAAAAATAAATTAATTGGCCCCAAACCTTTGACAGGTAGTGTACATACCCATTATATATAATATCACATCTACGTATTTTAATTGTAACATCAAACCAGATGTACAAGGAATTTGTAGTAACAACATACAGCACACATACACAGCTCTATAGTCTATTGACAGTTCAATTTCTTTTTCCTCCACGCATAATTTTCACCATATTCTCTTGATAAGCACGAGATCTCTTGATATGGAAGAGTGAAATCACAGCTACAGGAATGGGATGACAGAGAAGGTGATTCCAGCTCACCTGGTTATTGGCGGTTTTCAGTAGAGGTTGGGGGTCATTATGGGGCAGTGGTGAAGAGGCAGAGCTATTTTCACTGTCACTGCCATCACTTAAACTCACCCTGCAAAATACATGACAGATATTCACCATTCATTATCCCCTTCTGAGTATCCTCACATCAGCTACACAGCATGGTATGCTGGCATGGATATATAAAATAGATTTTTCTTTCTGCAGCCAGGGTTATGCGGTAGTTTTTTATAGATATTTACCTGCGGTGGCGATGTGTCATTTGTGTGTGTAACGGTCGCTCCATGTCCGAGTCCATGTCATTATCGTCCTCCTCTTCAGAATCTTCTTCGTTTTCATCCGAGTGCAAATCTGGGATCACCGACCGCAAAGGACCCAACACTATAGGTGAATAAGGAAGGCAAACGTCTAAAAAAATAATTTCTTTTTTGTGTGTGTAATATGTCAACATTTTTGATCCTCAAAGGATGCATTGCACGCACACATCCTCAGATTTCTTTAATATTAGTAAAACTAATATCTTGGTAAAGTGTACTCTGTGGGTAAAAAAAAAAAGGGGGTTGACACACTGACCCATAATAAGGCCAGGCTTTCACCAAGCCAGCCAAAAGCAACAGGATGTGGCAAATATTGGAAAAGTTACCTTGCCGCTTGTGTGCGCGTCCATAGCCGGAGCTCGAACTGGAACTGGAGCTGGCCGGACTTGGCTGATCCGACTAGGAAAGAAGGCAAAGTACCAACTGAATACAATGAAAATAATAATGCCAATATCAAAGCAGTCTGGTTTTGTGTGCTCAAGAACCATGACCATGAGGTTATTTGGGAAATCAGCACTTTCTACGTTTTGATATCTCCCAATACACAGACATCAAAAACACATTTGCTAAGCCTTGCACAGTATTGCTTTTCCTCATGACATAAAATTGGTTTTGCAGTCTTATAATTACAAATCCACGGTGAAGCTACCTCAGGGGGCAATATTTAAATTTTTTTTTTATATATATACAGTGGGACAAAAAAGTATTTAGTCAGCCACCA